TTAGAAAAGTGATGGTGACAATCAGAGGGGCAGGATTTAATCAGTGTACATGAGAGAGGCACCGATAAAGGGGTCCAGCGGCATGAAATTGCCTTCAGGTCCTGGCATGGGATTTAGGCTTAAAGTGGGAAGAGATGAGCTAGAAGGATTCATAACTGAGCAGGATTAAGTCTTTGTGAATGCTGGTCAGTCCATCATTGTCTCCGTCTGGTTCAGCAATGAGGTCTGAAGAAATGCTTACTGGTTGAGGGGGCAGCCTGGTTCTCAGGAAGTGATTGCCACCACTCCAGTGTTCAGCCTGGAAACCATAGGTGATTGTTCCTATCTGGGAGGTGGGCTGTCCTGGGGGTCTTTGCTGTTCCTGGGACCTAAAGTAACTACAGCTTTTGGACAGGTATCTGAGAAGTTCAAGATCCTTTGGGAATCTGGAACAGGAAATTGTAAAAAGCTGGCATTGCTCAGCTCCTGTTGTCTGTTTCTCCATCCTTGAATGGGAAAGACGTTGGGTAGATGCCAATGGTCTCTCCACAGACACAACCTGAGCAGTGAGCATGCTTCTGTGTAGAAGTAACCATGTGATCAAAAGTAAAGGAGTCAGAACCAAAGTGAAGACAGGGATGCCAATTTTTCAACTTACTTTTAATCATCTTGTGCCTTATACGAGGAGGTAATATTTCCAGCAAAAGCACCTTCTGTGTGCTCAGAGTAACATCTTGTCTAGTTCCTCAAGGAAGGAAGTTCTCAAGGTAGACTCTGCAGGGCAGAAGTTGGGGAGTTTGGCAAAGGTAAATTCTCAGGTCCTTCCTGGCTGGAAGCTAAAAGGAGAAGGCTGTACTGGTCTGAGTTTTTCATGTTTACTGAGTCTAGAAACTTGTGTTTTCAGGTGTAAGCTTGCCTGAACTGCAGTCTCACCTCTGAAAATGAGAACCAAAAACAAAAAATACTAAGAAAAACCAATCCTCTTTAATGTTTCACATTCAGTAGAGTTGGAGAGCCACATTTACCATACAGTCCCCAAGGTACCTTTTGGGCATTTCTTGGCTCAGCCTGATTCTTATTTCTCCCTACTTTCCTTATACTGCAAGTGACTTAAGGACACATAAAAGGTGATACTAGATGGCTTTCCTTTCTTCTTAAATTATTTTGCCATTTATGAAAAAAATTAGGTGCTGTAGAGTTGCACAACTGTGATTAAGTGCAGCCAGCCAAATGTTTCAGGCTTTAGGCCAAGTATTCTCAAATCTTCCTAGGAAGATGCCCATGACTCACTGCTTTCATTGGCCTAGATCTTTGTTGAGACTAATTATTGAATATCTCTGTGAATTGACTTTGATTTCCTTTCCTGTGAACTATGGATCTGGCAAATAGTTTCTCAAAGGTGGTTATGTGGAATGGGTATAATGCATGAAAAGTTCTCACATGTACTCCTGGAGGAACAGCCAGCGAGTCCTACTTTTAGGGGTCTTTTTACAACTGAGCTGTAACAAGTTCTGTTCCACCAAGCACTACTAGGTAGGGTTGGCTTGGACTGTAAAGATTTTACATGTCTAGGAGTTTTCAAGACATCAAAAAGTTGTCATTAACCCTCCTCACCTTGCCTACTGGTTCTCTCTTATTTGACATCAAACATGCTCCCCTCTGTGCCTCAAATAGCAGGGAAAGAGCCCAGGTTTTGAAGATTACTTAAGCACACTGTTCAAATCCTTCCTGGGGTTTCTGTCCTGATGTTCAGAGTACCACACAGATCAGAGTCATATGGCACTAGGAGGAAGCCAGGAGCCAGGAGCCAAGAGCCATCATGCGGAAGGCTGCTCTCCTCCACCTACCCCATAATTCCAGGGAATTTCTGTTGCTCATAGGTTCTGAGAACTGCTTTCTCTGACTTTCCACAGATACTCATTTCTGTTTGTATTTCATATCCACTGATGGGACCCTGCTGAAGAGCAAGTAAGACAAGTCAGGGATATTCATTAGGACGAATTAGGGCACTACCTATTTGAAAAGATACTTGTATTGTGTTCTTCCCTGAAAGGGTGGATTTGTATTAATAAATATCAGTCACACTTATGTGATACAGCTCTGGTAATTTGCAGGCACTATGTGCATATTCAGTCTCCATATGAAGACAGTAACAGTTTTGGAGGAAATAGATTTCAAGGTATCTAATTCTCTCCATCTGTTCTACTTGAGAAGGTACCTAAGCGCTGATGGAAGTTTCTGTCCCACACGGTACCACGGCCATTTAGTACCAAAAAAACACATGGAGGCTTGTATTAACTATAAACTGTTTGACGTATTGCTCAGGCTTCTTATTGGCTATCTCTCTCTTAACTATTAACCCATTTCTATTAATCTGTATAACTCCACATGGTCTTGGTTTACCAGTGATACCTAGACCTCTTGCTTCTTTGGCAGTCACATGGCATCTCCCAGACTCTGTTTGGATTTCTCGCCTGGGTAAATCCTACTTGTCCATTGGCTGACATAGCTTTATTCATCAACCAATAAGAGAAACATATATTCACAGCATACAGAAGGACATTGCCCATCACCTATGGTTGAACCACCTCTCTTCTTAGTATGCACCTGTTACAGTCATTCAAGAGACAGTGTTTTCTCCATTATCTCCATCATGCCGTCTTACCAACAGCATCCTATCCTTAAGGAAGGACCCTACAGTAGTAAAGCAGAAAAGGCTCATTCTCACAGCCATAGCAAATTCATCACAACACTGAGTCCTCCACCCTTGAGCCAGAATATAAGAAGATGCTTTTCAGAGAGGGCATGATGACTTAACACATGAAAATAGTATTTTTGAGCACAGAGAGTTAAACCAGATATTTCTAGGGAAATAATAGCATGCCATTAATAACCATTGGATGAGCCCTGGTGAGATGTTATCAGTACACTTTGTCTGGGTACTGAGAAACTGAGTGAATGTAGTATTGGGTTGCAAATCAGGTATTTTTTTTTCAATTCATTGCTTTAAAAGAAATTGAAAGAGGAACTAATTGAATTGTTAGCTGTGTGATTATCAGAATAATTTTTGAAGCTATATTACTTTACAGTTTTTTTGCCATATATCTTAAAAGGCATTCACAGAATTCAGTGTCATTGGTATAGGATATTTTCATTGCCATTTTTGTGCTTAGATGAACAAGGTTTCTTTAAAAGCAAAAGCAGAATAGAATTGATCCTAAATGTTATCTTATTATAGAAGTAAATGATTTCTTAATTTGTGGTTTGAAAAAGCAGGCTTACACGTGTGATTAAGCATTTACAGTTCAAGTTAACTTTTTATTATTAATTATTACTTAAAATGTGGATGATATCTATATTGTTTTTGTCAATTTTACATCTGTGGTGATAACTCATTTTAAAACCAAATATTATTACTTAGAGTTTTATAGCCAAAGGACATAAAAGAAATTTGAAATTCAATCTCCATATATTTTTGATACAGATAAATATGATAGGTGATCAATAAATGTTTTCAAGCATAAAATGCATCCTGCTGAGGACATATAATGGAAGGATTACCTCAAGTTTAAAAAGGAACAATATATACTTATGACTTTTAGAGGAAAGCTTGTTCATGAATTTTGTAGGTAGATCATCAAGATTATCAATCGCAGTAGTGTTAAAATTCCACTGAACACACACAGACTGTCTCTCCCCACCACCAAAGAAATTCTCTGTTTTATTTTAAAGTGCATTATTTCCTATAGACCAAAAGTGAATCATTTGAAACTGCAGTTTAAATGAATCTGATTACAGATAATGCTGAAGGTTACAAAACTGTTCAAAATTAAAGTTAGCATCTTCAGCTGCTCTTTGTTACCTGTATTTATTGTGGCTTCTGAATTTTGCAGAGCTTTGCTTCTTTGCCAACCAGTGTTCATAGGAGCCCATCTGTCTCTTAAACCCACTTGGACCACCTCTGTGTCTCACCCAGTGCTAGTCAAACTGCAGGAAGCCTTGTTCTTACCTGGGAGTTAAGACTCACCTGTCTCTTGTCCATGCCAAGACACCAGCTCTGCCTCTCCAATCTCTTATCTGTGGATGTGCTCATCTTTGGCCCCTCAGAGCACATTCATTCTCATACTGCATTCTAGGTCTTTCTGTATCTCTTCTCGGGTTCTTAGGTCATGAGTCACATCTGCCAATGTTTGCCCCAAGTTACCGGCACATTTTCTCTCCCTTGGGCATTGGTAGCTGCAAGTTACACACAGCAGCAAGCAATTGTCATTTGCATTCCCAGCCTGTCATAGCTGGGAAGATGAGCTGAAGGGCTCTCTGTGATTATAAACTGCAGTCACGGGGTGAGGGGTGAGGTACAGAAAGGAGGAGAGCACTGCTGAGAATCTTACCTCCTCTGCAATCTTCAGAGGTAGCTGGGAGTGCCTGAGAAAGTCCTGGTTTTCTGAGGTAAATTTTCCCCATCTTTGTAGGCTTTGTGCTGCTTAGGGGCACAAGGAGATTACCAGCACCTGGGAGGTCTGAGGTAAATAAGTTCAAGTCTTGATTAACTACAAGTTAAGTATTTGCTCATGGATTATCTGTGACCTATTTGAAATACTGATCTACTTTCTGTCCCTTGTGCCCGTGGGTCTTTGCTACAGCAATGTGGTAAATGTGCTCAGGAAATATAAACTAATTTTCATATAAGCCTGAGGGTAAAGTAAGGGGAAAAGCAGTGTGCAAGCAAGATATTCATATAATATGTTCCTAAATCAAGGAGAAATGATTTTGTATCATAGCTTCTTCTGGATGATTCAAGCCTCTTCTACCTTGTGTTCACAAAGGTTCATTAATAATTGATTGTCTTGAGCACATGAGTAACCTCTTTCTCTCCCCTCCCTCCCTCCTTTCCTCCTCCCCTCCATCCTTTTCTCCCTCCTCCCTCCCTTCCTCCCTCTCTCCCTCCCCCCTCGTTCTCCCTCACTCTTCCCTCCTCTTTTCTTCCTCCCCTCTCTACCCTCTCCCCGTATCCCTCACAGGTGTACCATAGATGATCGGGTCACCAGGGTGGCTTGGCTAAACCGCAGCACAATCCTCTATGCTGGGAATGACAAGTGGTCCATAGACCCTCGAGTGATCATCTTGGTCAACACGCCTACCCAATACAGCATCATGATCCAGAATGTGGATGTATATGATGAAGGTCCATACACCTGCTCTGTGCAGACAGACAATCACCCCAAAACCTCCCGGGTCCACCTCATAGTGCAAGGTAAGTTACAGCTGGACTTGGGCTGATGTTCCTTTAGGAGATATGCCAGGAGAGTAACCTTGGTCTTTTTGCCTATGAATAGAGATACAAAGTTGAGAATTGCAAATCTTCTATAAGCTTTTCATTTTTTAAAAAAATTCTATGGCCCTTCTTTCTTACCAGAAAGCTTTTGTGTGCATATAAGGCTGAACTTTCTCAAGAGACTTAGCATTTGAAGCTGGGGTGGGATTCAAACACAGATCAATGCAGTATTAATCACAGAGGCCTTTATTTCTCTTGTTTCATAACAAAAGGCTGATATTGATGTGAAGCCAGCCATGTGTGTTCTAGAAATGATGCTGAGTTCTAGCTGGTCAGGTCCTTTTTGGTGTCCCTGCTATGTTTATACTTCCTCACAGCCCCATGGTGTCGCCAAGCGAAACCCTGTCAGAATGACACCTCCAGGTCCATGTTGGAAATGAATTCATAGAGTTAAATGGAGCAGAAAGATGCTTTCCCATCATTGTCAATTCTTTATCTCAAGCATAGTATCACATGTATTTTTGATGGTTTTTAATTTTGATTATACTAACTACAAATAAATAATCTCAGATGTCAGATACAAAATACTGAGTTAAAAAGACCTGCAGATAGTAGTCATAAGAATTTGATAACAATGTTAAGGTGAGGCAAGCAAGAAAAATAGATGTTTTTGAACTATCCCAATTGTCACTGTGGCTTAAATTGTTATGTTATTATGGTAAGAATGAACTTTAAAACAGAGGTACTCCATCACCCAATGGTACATTATTCCTCCACCCAATGAGAAGCTTAAGTTATCCTCTCTCCAAGCATCCAATTGATATCTTAGAGATATCCACTGAGCACTCGGAAACTTTAGTTTATCAGATTCTATCTGACACAGACTCAAGAGAATTTGTAAATTCCTTTGTACTTTTATATTGTGAAATGTGTATACCATCCTCTGTAGCCAGGAGTTTTTTGTTTGTTTGTTTGTTTTGTTTTCCAAAACTAGATATAACTCATTTCAGTTGGTTTCATAGACCACAGAGGATGGGAGTTTGTGTCTCTTCACACTCAATCACTTAAACCATTTCAGATGCCCACTCTTTCTTCTGGAAAGAGCAGCCATTACCATCTCGTTTCCACCTACCTCTGTGGACACTTTGCAGTGGATGTATTGGGCCAGAGATAGGTCTGTCATAATTTGTCTTCTCAGCAGCTCTTTGGAAAGGTACAGTGCTGGAGCCTGGTTTCCATCCAATCTGTTGGTTCTTCTCTCTAACCCATATGATTTCAGAGATTCAAAACAGCCTGTCATGAAATAGAGATTTACAGATGTTGCTGGTTTCAACATACATGTCCCACCTAGAGAGTAGAGGATTGGCTAAGGATCACTGCTTGGAGACTCAAGATTGGTTGCTTTCTGGTAATAAAGGCACAGACATATCACTTCTCAAAGGACAGTGGAGACAGTGGGTGAGATTAGGGACTGAAGATGTGTTGGAATGTCCCAATATCTGTTTGCCACTTGTGCTTAATTCCACAACATTAATTCTCAGCCTTGAAAGTGGAACCCCATGGCCTTCAAAGCCCAGTTGTCTTCACATCAGGAGGGTGTGGCATTGAAATGAAAAAGAAACTGCCATGGACCAAGCCTGTTGATATCAACAGAATGAGACAAAAACAAGTATATGAGAACTGAGACAGATCACATGGAGCTTAGAGGAAGTGATTTCAGGGATGATGCCTCTACAGTGCTCATTGGGTAATGCCTGGAGTGTGGTGTGGAAGCCTATAATGTCAACTGGTGTCGGGGGGGGGGGGAGCACTCATAGAGAGTGTGGGAGTTGAGGCACAGGAGCAACAGTTTCTCCTAACCTAGAAGTCAGCTCCTCCCATTCTCTATATCCAAAGTCCAACTCTGTGTAGCTCTGGCCTCCTAGGAGCTTATGGAGTACAAAAACAAGCCAAGAGGTGGCTGGAGGATAAAGGATGCTCTGTTACCAGAACATTCCACACATGGAATTTCCTATTAAGTGAGAGGCCAGGAGCATGAGCTGGGCAAGGGCATTCCTGCCTATCCTGGTGAGCAACTCGGGAATCCTCAGGGGGACAGACACAGCAATCTTGCTGCTATCACTACTCAGTGAAAGAGAAGCCAAGGTCCTCTCTCTTCCCAGCAGCCACCGGCTTTTGTCCAGTCTATAGATTAATTTTTCAGACTTGGTGTTAGTTCAGGTTAGATAAAGATAATGAAAGTTTCCTAATCCTCTTAAAGAAGATTTATCTGACTGAGTAGAAAGCTTTTGGAATACAATAAGGCATGTAGAAAACTGAGGCCTAATCTTGCCTTTAATTTCAAACCGCTGATGGGTATTGATTTTGCAATAAGAAAAACTGAAAAATTTCCGAGATGTGACTTGTGTGCTTTTTAAAATATTTATTTATGTTTTGTCTATTTGACAATATTAATGTCTCATTACTGTTACAAATTGGATGCCATTAGCAAAAAGGAGGGCATCCCATGAAGCCTCTACCTTGTTTGTTTGTTGGCTTGCTTTCTTCTGCAATGTCCAGGCCTGAGAGATGCTCTGCCCTGGTACTTGATGCTTTGTAGACTATTGTAGAGGACACCTCTTGCCAAGGGTCAGATAGGACTGGCTCCCAAGTCTACCTGTTTACCCAAGCCACCTTCATTAAATTCAGCCATTATTCCCTCCGGTACTTCTTGGCCACTGAGGAGTTCATTTTATGTCACCACCTAAGCCTGTGTAAGGATATCATCTGTGTAAGGAGTGCAAAAGAAACCCAGAGTAATGAGGAATTGTGGCTCTAGGTCGTGTTGGTCATGGTAGGAAAATCCACTTGGCAACCTGGTCAAAGAGGTACTGCAGTGGGTTGAGAGGCACAGAGGGACAAGGAAAGGCTACAGGTTGCATCCAGCACCCAAATCAATGTCATGAACCTGGACTGTGGATCTGCCTGGAGAAACGGAAAATCATGGAAGAGATGTTGTCTAGGGGCGATGGTGAGAATTGATCCCTAATGCTTTGACAGAGGAAGAAATAAATGAGAATACCTATATTTTTGAATTTGGGGAAATGATAGTGGCCTTGACCGTAACTGCAGAGATAAAATGTTGTGGCATTCTGAAAGAACAGCGTCACCTGGATGCGGTAGCACAAAAGAGTAGTTGTAGCTTAATGCCAGTCTGAGATTCTGTCATGTCAAGGCTTTACTAGCTTGGTAGTGGCTGAGCTGCTGAGGCTAACTGTTCCTAGAGAACACGGAGAATCATGACTTATTTATCTCCAGTCCGGTCAATTAGCACACCGTGACACTCAGGCACTGGGGGTGTTTATCTGTGAGGTGATTCAGCAACTGTACCAGTGTCTGAACAAGGAATCCTGAGGCCTCTCCAAGCAGACAGGTTAGGAGAAGTAAGCCAGGCACTGTCTGATGAGTTTCAGTGGATAGTGATGGAGACTGTTCCCTGGAGGAGATTGCTAGACTGTGACAAGCTAAGAGGTGTGTCATAATAGGGATGCTTCAGATTGCACGCATTAATTTGGTACTGTTTAAAGATGCTCACAGTCTCTGTCTCATTTGACCCTCCTAACAAACGCTATGAAGCAGCAGTGCATTCACTGTTATCTCCATTTACAAACTAGGTAACCATAATTCAGGAGGTTGGGAAACTGCCATGGTCCCCAGTAAGCTAGGAATAGGGCTAGGTCTTGAACTACAACCACACTGATACAGGGAAATAAGGGTCCCCTCTTGGGGCTATTACTCATTTAAAAGGAAATCAAGAATGGACATAAATTGGAGTTAATGATTTTTTTTGGAATTTGAACGAAATAAGACCCCCAGAGCAGACATGCTGCAAACTTCAACTGCTGTCCAGAGGGGAGAGTGTTGGGGAGAAGGGAAAGGCCATGCCACTTAAGCTGGCATAGAGGTCAGATACATGGTGGACTGGCAGCTAAATGAAGGGCAAGGAAGCCTTAGAGAAGGAATAAAGAGGCCTAGAATGTTGACAAACTCAGAATTGCTAAGGAAAGCATGCAAAGAAAAGAGATAGAAGAAAGAAAAGGAAAAGTGGGCAGACTTAGGAAGAAGCTACATGGCAGAAAGTTACTGCACTAGAGGTGGGCAGGATTCTGGGAAGGACACAGTATCTCATTAAAGGGCTATTTATTCTCTTTTTCCTATGGCTTAAGGAGAGCCTGCCTTCCTAGGGGTGGCCTCTTGGACAAGTGATTGATGCAGCCCAACTGTCATGTTAGAACTCCACCCAGGCTGGAGATTCTAGTCCCTTGTCCAGAGGTTTTCCTCAATGGCCTTTACTGTTCTGTAACAATACAATTACAAAATCACATCTCAGCCTATTCCGATTTCACTACCGCCAACCATGCTTATTTGTTTCTCTGCTCTGGATCCATGCAAAAATTTCTCTGTTTTAGTGTGTGCGTGCATGTGTGTGTGCATGCACACGCATTGTTTTGTTTTGTTTCTTTCTTACTGCTGATACTGAATTGTACCATTAGAAATTAAGGACAAAGCTCCAAAAAGAAAGTGATCAGTGAGGGAGGGTCTCCAAAACTGCCATAAGTGGTACAAAGAGGCTTGGAGAGAGGCAGAAAAAAGATAATTAATTTTCTAGTAGCTCATCCCTCCAGGGGTACACATTTTAAATGTTACCATTTTATCCTATGTAAGTACTGAAAACCCTAGCTCCTTTGGGGATCCTGGATTTAATTGTCATTCTAATCTTCATTAAGTCTCAACATTCTGAAACCTCAGCAGATCTATGAATGCTGGTGATCTGGGGTGTTGCTATTTGTTAGGAATGGATGCAGTAGGGAAATTTGGTCTGTCTTTCCTTCAGGGGTGTTGATACTCGAAGTCTATCCTCTCAGCTGGCTTAGAAATCGTTAGCCTGTGAGGTATTTCTCTTCATGGAATGCATGCTTTTTGCAAAGCTTAGATTTATG